ACCTTCAACTACACTGTGAAATAAATTTCAAGAAAACACCACAGAGGCACCAGCAATTCAATCCTCATTGCCGCCTGGAAGCTTCTTGGTTAAAATGCAAAGCCAATTCACTGTTTTTATTTATTTTATTTTGAGACAGAGTCTTGCTCTGTTGCCTGGGCTAGAGTGCCGTGGCGTCAGCCTAGCTCGCAGCAACCTCAGACTCCTGGGCTCAAGCGATCCTCCCGCCTCAGCCTCCTAGGAGCTGGGACTACAGGCATGTGCCACCATGCCCAGCTAATTTTTTTTTCTATATATTTTTAGTTGTCCGACTAATTTCTTCCTATTTTTAGTGGAGACAGGGTCTCGCTCTTGCTCAGGCTGGTCTCGAACTCCTGACCTCTAGCTATCCTCCTGCCTCGGCCTCTCGGAGTGCTAGGATTACAGGCGTGAGCCACCACGTCCAGCCCAATTCACTGTTTTTAGACACTAAGTCTACTGTATATTAGGTCTCCTCTTTTGCTGTGTTTTGTCTTTCTCTGACATCAACGTTAATAGGGATGTTCTAACCATGGAAGTAAAGCCTCTCTTAGTAGGGAGAGCAGCAGTGATTTCTGAAGGGGGAAGGCTGCATCCTTGAAGCAGTGCTACAAGGAGGAACGGAAGCCCAATCGTGGTCGCCTTGGGACAGACACTTGATCTGTTTTGTTCATCCTGTGCTCCTGGCACATGGTGGGCTCTGGATATATGTCTGGAAATGACTGAATGAACAAAATAATGGGTGAGACTACAGATAGTTCACGATGGGGGCAAAATTGTATTCCTGGAGGAAGGCTGGAGCGTGCTGAGTTGAGAAGTGAGTTAGGAAATGTGCTCGGGCAACCAGAAGGAAGATCACTGCATTACAACCCGGCAGACACATTCTGGCTCTGGTATTAATAGCAGTGAGACCTCGACTTCAGCTATAAAACTCTCTGTGCCTCATACGTATATTTTCTCCTCCATAAATTGAGAGAACTGGACCCCAAGCGTCCCCTAAAGTATCTTCCAACCTAAAGATCAGTCCAAGAGCTTCACAAAGCTTCACCACCTGGCAGGAGAAGTTCACCAAAGAATTAGAGCCGTAAAAGACTCCTCTATTATAACTGCTCATAGAATTAGGCCCTTTCTGTCCTCTCTTTACCTATTATCTCAACTGCCTTCTGGTGCTCCTGACAGTTTAGAATCTTACCTGCATCTGGGTTGAGATAGGTTTAAATGATCTTAAAAGACCATATGACCCAAGTAAAGATGCCGGGATTTCAGTGGAATGAAACGAAACTTAGAAGGTGCAGTCAAACGACCTTGGCTGTCTATAGGAGCATGAACCTTCTCTCCTCACTTCCCAACTCCTTCACCTCTTCCCCCATGCCCTCATCAATCATGCCGTAAAAATGGGGGTGAAGGAATGGCGTTTGCTAGAGAAAGGAGGTTTTCTGTGGGTGTTCATTCACATATAGGGAACAGCTGGGAGCCATCTGGTGTCATAACTAGATTTCTTGCCAGTTGAAATGTGTGTTTGTGTTGGTCTGTTCAGGCTGCTATAACAAAATACCATTGTAGGAGTGAGGGGAAACTTCCCCTTTCCCCCGAAAGTTTGATGAAAAATCAACTCACAATTAAGACAGATTAATAAGAGAAAGGGGTTTATTCACCATGCACACAGGGAGAATC